TTATCATGTTTTAATTCCCCATTTTCACCAATATTAATCCTTATTTCATTCTCATAATCTTTTTTCATGTGCCTTCTAATTAGTTGAATTTCTTCAGATAATTCTTTCTATTATATATAGATGATGATATAAATAAAAAATTAATAAATGGATTAATAAATGAATAAATATACTATAATAAAAAATTAATAAATGAATTAATAAATGAATAAATATACTATAAATAAAAAATAAATAAATGAATTAATAAATGAATTAATAAATGAATAAATATACTATAAATAAGATTATAAAATAATTACCTGAATATTACTATCATTTATATATTTTATTACAACTTTATTTAAATCATCAAATACACCATATCCATAATCAGCACAAATTGAACATAGTCCACCTAAGTCATCTCTATATTTATACCTACCATTTTGTAATTGAAGCATGAAGGTTGTCCTTGACATTCCACCTGGGTATATTTCTGAGTATTTTTTCCACAAAGATTGCTTCTGATCTTGTAAATATAATATTGGTAATTAGATTTAGGATCAACTTTAAATGAGCTCATAGAAACATTAGCTTTATCAGAAAAAAAGGCATCAAATTGTGATTTTATCTCTTCTGTGATTCTAGATCTTTGGGTATAAACTGGTTTTTCTAAAGGCTTACATCCACGCCCATAAATTTGTGCAGACTTTTTTGCACCTGATATAGAATTGGGTGAAACCTAATAAAATATATTTGTATTAAACAGCTTATTAAACAGCTTATTATATATAAATAAATTATTAGATGCTATTGAAAAATTTACCTCTAATTTTTTTTGTAATGTGTCATATGAAAAATCTTGTGCAATAATGGACAGTATTCTCTGCTTTCCATCTAACCCTTGTTTATTTTCATCAAGGCTTTGCTTGAAACAACTCCAAAAGGTTTCATTACTATTGTAAGATGGATATGCACTTAAAAAACCAGATTTATATAAAAAATCAATATTATTTTTGTCAGGTTTAGGATCAATAGCTCTAGTCCAAAACCTATACTGAAATGAATAAATGTTAATTTGTATATTAATTAATTAGCATGCTCATTTAGATAAAAATGATCATTTGAAATTATTTTAACTTACAGGTGAAATTTTATTACTGAAAGGAGTGATATTTGTACAACCCACAGCTCTTAACATTGCATTCCATGCTTGTAATTCACGATCACTAAACTTATGATTAAGGGATATATTTTTTCTAAAGAGGAATAAAGCTCTATCATACTAGAATTTTGTTTATGCCATTGATAAAAAAAATTATACCAGTTTATGTTTGCAATTATTTTTTTTTAGATAGTAATCAAATATTTTTTGCATTAAACCCACATCATCCCAATCATTTGGAGTACAAGCCAAAGTTTTCAACTCTTCCAGAATTACTGATGTTACATTATTATTTAAACCAGAAATTTTTTTTCCTTCATGTTTATTCAGAATTCCTAGCCCTTTCCAAGCATCATTTGGATCATTTTTTTTAATTTCTTTAAGTAATTCATCTTCATGCCATATCTCAATTATAAATTTATCATTGATTATTTTTTGAATAAATGTACACCATTTATTTGAAAATTTATAATTAAAGGAAGATATGTATCCATTTCCAGCTCCACAAAATTCTTTATTTTTTGAAATACCTAAACCATAAATAAATAAGTTAATTCTTTCAATTTGAATTGAATATGGTCTAAATTCAATGTTTAATAATAATTCTTGAACAATGTCATTTGACTCAAATCCTAATGCTTTAATTCCAGAAATTCTTGTTGAGCTTTGGAAAATTTTTTGATATAAATTGGAAACAGCATCAGTTGGATTACTTTCAACTTCACTTGAAATTTCATCACATTGGCAACAATATCCTGGATGAAGTGCATTGAGCTTGTTACCTTTTATAACATGTAATATAAAATTTTTACTATTAAGGATAAATTGTGTTTTCATTCCAACACAGATTGGATTCCAATAACAAATATTGTTTAAGTTTTTAGAAGCTTGAAATCACCAGGTCTTTGCATGTACTCCATAATGTAAATCAGGATCAATAATACCACCAGATAATAATTGCACAGATAAATTATTCATGATTGAAATAAGTTTTTATAGAATTTATAGATATAAAATAAACAGTTTATTATTTTTTTAAGAGTTTTTTTAAAAAAAAAGTAATAGAATATTTTTTTTTTTAAAATAAAAATGGGTAGTTTTGGTTTTGATCATCAATCAATTTTTAATATGTTTAATATCCCGGATCTACATATTAAAAATCTATCATTGATCGGCAGACCATGAATTAATCATTATTTATTTTTACTATATGGATTTTGTATGCATCCTTTATTTATTATTTAATAGAATTGACAAGGAAATTTATATGGCATTATTTAAATTCTATTTTTAAAGATTAAATGATGTATTTTAATAAATTATTTAATAACACCTTCAGTAGGAATAAAAATCATTATTAATATAATAATATGCTATATATTAGTTAAATAGCATATCTGACATTGACTGATCTTGGGTAAGCTTGTAGAAAAGTTAAAAACGCATATATTATATAATTTTGATGAAACTCTCAACCTTGCCCAAAACACTAATAAAAAAGTCGACCAACTAACTGAGGAAATTAAAAACATTAAGCAAACTATTGAACAACTCCATGAACAGATAAAAAATAAACAAATTAGAAACTGAAAAAGCCAAAAAAGAAGCCAAATTAGCCAATGAATGACTGGATAATTTAATTACTCTTAGTGATTACTCCACCCAAGAATCTAAAATTGATAAAATCCAAGGAATCACTAATTGAGCATTAAAAAGGACTTAGCCTTAAATTACATGACCAATTAATAAAGCACCTGCCATGTTTTTCTTGTTTTTCTTTTCCCTTGAAGATTCAATGAAAAGATCTGCACAGAATTTAGCCAATTAGAATTTCTTTTCATAACACCGATCATTACAGGGTATTATCCCTGGTTTAATTTAGCCAATCAGAATTTCCTCTAGAATTTTTCATACAATCAATCATTATGGTATTTAGTATTTCCATCTATGGAAATATCCCTGACGGTAATATATATTCTAATTTTGGCAAGATTTGAGATTTTCATTGCCTAAAATAGTACATTTTCCTATGCATTTACTGTACATTTTCCATGCTTAACATCCATACTATACATGAAGTCAAAATTAAAACCCCAAAGTCAAATGTTTCAACTTGAGGCAACTACATAATAAAAATCAGTTTTGACCAGATTTTGACCAGATCTGCAAATGGTTGAAATAGTTTCGACTTCATGTATAATCCATACAAATTCATGGAAAATGTACAGGAAATGCACAGGAAAATGTATGAGCAATTTTAAGTGTTTAAATACTTCTTAAAGTATTACAGATAATGTTACTTGTACAACTATTCTAATTTGTTAATATAGGTTAATTCTAAAATATTACATTGTAATGTATAATTTTGATAAATATATGAGTAATACATGAATATGAAATATATACATGAAATACAAGGATCTGCAGTATAACATCACATGATGTGTGGTGTAACAATTACAATAAAATATAGAAATATGATTGTTGATAATTCAGTCAGGGAGATTTCCAAATTTGGAATTTCCAAATACTGTAATGATTAACATTCTAGATTCATTGTGTAATTCTAAAAAAGAATCAAAACAAAAAATGATTGGCTAAATTTATGCAGATCCTTTCATATATAAATTAAAATAATGCATACCCGTTGAGTTTTAAATTACATACAATATATGAATTTATAGCTATTATGCATGCATACCTAGAATTAAGCAATATCAAGGATGCTGTTTTTTGAATTAATATATAGCATGTTTTCTTGATATATTAATAATTCAAATTATAATAAGTTACTATATTTTTCTTCAATAAAAAATCTTGGTTCATCATGACTATTATAAATTTCATACATTAATAAATACCAGGCTCTGATATTATTGAAACTATAATAAAGTTAATAAATAAGAATATATATATGAATTATTGGGAAGATAAATTTTACATCCATAATAAATAGGATTAATGGATGAATATATATATAATTTTCTTACATCTATAATTAATGGATGAATGTATGTATAATAAATTTGAATTTTTTTATGATAATGAATTTGAATTTTTCTTATGTTCATAATAAATAGAATATATATATATAATAAATTTGAATTTTCTTGTCTATAATTAATGGATGTATATAATAATTTGAATTTTCTTATGTTCATAATAAATGGAATTTAATGGATGAATATATATATATACAGTATAATATTGAGAAAGTAAAATAAATTTGAATTTTCTTACATCTGTAGTTAATGGATATATATAATAAATTTGAATTTTCTTACATCCATAATAAATGGAATTAATGGATGAATATATATATAAAATATTGAGAAAGTAAAATAAATTTGAATTTTCTTATGTTCATAATAAATGGAATTAATGGATGAATATATATATAA